CCATCAGAGATAATAGAAGGGAACTTGAGGTGGATATATGGGCAAAGAAATACAAAAACAACATAAAACAAAACACACATGCTGACAAAACAACAACCCACAAGCCGAAACAAAGATGATGATCAACCCCACAAGCCCCCAGTCTCTACTGCAGATAAAAACATGGAATCCAATAAGCGTCCCACTCCTCACAGCCGTGACATCCAAGCCTCTTAACCAAAGCCGGGACGGAGGAAAAGATATACCCCAAGAGAAATCCCAACAAAGTCACATGAAGCTAGCATGATCAAAAACCATATGCCACGGACTAGGGAGTTGAAGTAAAAGACAATAACCCCTCAGCAACAAACCAAATCACAGCCAACAAAATCATGAAATCAATCATCACATCCCCCAGTCCCTTCCTTGGTAGATCACAGGCCTCAAACCCCACGGCAGTGTGACCAGCACTCCATGTCAGGCGTGGTAATACGATCAATTAGGACAGGTCACATGAAGACAAGAAGCGACCAGAAAACCGGTAGCTATCCTCCCGCTCATCTCCCAGTCTCTAACTCGGCTGGTTATTGAACCACTATTCATCATAGCAGTGACTCCCCAATCACTCTTGGCGGAGATGGTTCAAAACCACCCTCATATCGAGTCACATGAGGATCACATGATCAATCACCATAAAATTATCAACTATAAAAGATCCGCTGCAAAGAGATTAAACCCAATTATAAAAATTACCAAGTGGGCCCGAAAACCCACGCCATGCACTCCAGATTTCGGCTCCAAAAAAGCCCCAAAATCCAAAACAAAATGAGCCCGACGGTTGAATTTCAAAACCACCAATTCCGTACCAACTCTTGCACCATGGGCCCCACTGAGAAAACCGTGGGCCACCCTTTCTGGTTTTGTGAAACCAAAAAACCATGCTTAGCCTCAGGCCATAACCAACGTGAAATCCCAGAAAATTTGAAATTCCCTCCACTAGACCATGTAAGGCCATTATAATATTACAATATGCTAAACCAATGCTGGTTTAACAAAAACCATGGGCCATGGAACCCACTAACCCAAGTACTACCGACAGCAGCACAGCTTTTATTCAAATCACCCCATCAACTTTCATCATCACCAGCAGCCCACGCGCAGGAGCGTGAGTGCACACAATCACAAAGCCCAAGACCACTCGCATGGCTGTGCACCATACGCTAGGCTTCAGCACCATCATCTCCGAACCGACGCTAGCCGACCCAAAGGAGACCACCGGAGCTGGTACTCGCCACTGCAAGCCGCCATGGCCGACCTTCATCACCCTGCGACGCAGTGCGTGGACAACACCGTCGGCAACACAGTACTGGCGACGGAAAGAAACCGCTGTGTATCTCACCTTGCTACTGTAGCCATCCACTCATCCGTCTCAGTGATGAGCTTCTTCAATCGCAAAACAATATATCACCAATGATAATAAATACCACCGGCGATGAACTCGCAACTTCGAGAAACACCGAAACAGCCACCAGAGAAGCACACCCGCGACTACCGCGGTCTGAGACACCATTGGCAAAGGCTGCATACACGCCGGCAGCACAACCTAGGACCTGAAGACAACCCCACCAGCACCGTAGAACATCACCGGCAAAGTGCCACCCACATCCGAAGTAACTACCAGCTTCACTCCCATAAACACCATCTATCTCTATCTAGAAAACTAGAGATAGCAGGTTCTATTTGCCTCCAAATCAGACTTGATACCCCTCCAGAGGTCATAACACAACAACATCGAAACTAGTAACCTAAACCACCCATTCCCGTCATTGTAGCACATAACCAGCCAGACACACTCCGGAGAACCATCGCCGGCAGAGAACTCTGAAACACTGCGAAACCCACCTCCGGCGAACTCCCTACCGCCAACACAAATCGGCTACGAACACCTTTAAGCCATGGAATAATGAACAACCGCCATAAAGAAAACGATGGTCCACTTCCATGAGCAACGACAGAATCACATGGTCACCAAGAGTAACAAAACTCAACACAGTTTAACCATAAATATAATCAACAAACAGGCACGCTCACTCACACACAAAGTAAGAGTGGAGGAGCTAACAAACTGGCCAAGACGGTACCAGACACCATGAAAAACCGATGGGGGGAGCTTTAGAGAGAGAAGCTCTACTTTCTTCCCCCTTTCCTAATCCATTAAGCTACGATTACATTTTTGACTTGTCTTGAGGGTTTTGCTTTGTGAGTATGTTTGTTGTGGTTTTTAAGTTTTTTTGGTTTTTTGTTTGTATCTTTGCCCATATATCCATCCCAAGTTTCCGTCTATTATCTCTGATGGTAGGGGTTACTTGGGGACATAAGGATATATGGGCAAAGTTGGGTTACTTTGTTTTTTTCTGTTGTTCTTGTGTTTCTCCCACAATCTTTGGGGGTGCAATGGTAGGTTATGTTGGTTATGTATTAATTTATTTATTTGTTGTTGGGTATGCCTGGGGTATGCCCCTTGTAAACTTGTAAATTTCATTGTCTTTATTTTATGACTTACTTCCCAAAAAAAAAAAAAAGGACGGAGAAAGTTAGATAGAAGCTTTCTTCTTGAAAGCTAGATGAGAAAGTTGAAGCAAAGAAAGAGAAATTGTAGTGGTGTAAATTTTCTTGTTTTATTTATTTCTTATTCCCCCCCCCCCCCCAAAAAAAAAAAATAAAGAAAAAGTGAAGAGAAAGTTAGAGAAAAGAATGAAAACTAGGATGAAAATCACAGGGAATTCAAATTTATCCTTTTAGACTTGAGAAATTGAACACTTTGCTGATTTAGAAAAACTTAGATGAGGTACTTAAGTTAAACTAATATCGTTATGCTATAATTACTCAGAAAATTCTCTTTCTTAGAGGCTAAGCAAGGTTAGTTTGAGTTAAACTTGGCCACTTAAGCTAATGAAACAATTAACGGCCTAAGCTATTTAGTTCCTGGAATAGAACAGAGCAGGAAGGAGAAGGACGGAGACAGTCAAAGAGGAACATTCCTTCTTCAGATCTAGCAGAGAAAGTTTGAAAAAAAAGAAAGAGAAATAGGAAGAAAATCAAAAGGAATTCAAGTTCAACATTTTGGATTTGAGGATTGAATGCTTATATTCGCCCAAAAAAATTGAACGTTTAGGTGATTTAGATACCTTAAATGAGGTTCTTAAGTTGAACTAATTTCCTTAAGCTACAATGACTCATAAAATTCTCTTTCTTAGAGGCTAAGCAATGTTAGTTTGAGTTAAACTTGGCCGCTTAAGCAAATGAAACAATTAGCGGTCTAGGCAATTTTGTTCCTAGAACAAAATAGAGAATGATGGAGAAGGACTGAGAAAGGTAGAGAGAAACATTCTTCATCAGAGGTAGAAGAGAAAGTTAGAGAAAAGAAAAAATAATAGGAAAGAAAATCAAAGGGAATTCAAATTCATCCCTTTGGACTTAAGAATTGAACACTTAGTTGATTTAGAAAACCTTAAATGAGGTGCTTAAGTTTAACTAATATCCTTATGCTACAATTACTCAGAAACTTCTATTTCTTAGAGTCTATGCAAGGTCAGTTTGAATTAAACTTGGCCACATAAGCAACTGAAACAATTAGCGGCCTAAACCAATTGGTTCGTTGAACAAAACAATCGATGGAGAAGGATAGAAAAAGGTAGAGAGAAACAGCAATAGGAAAGAAAGCAATGAGAATTCAAGCTCATCGTTTTGGACTTGTGAATTGAACACTTAAGTGAATTAGAAAACCTTAAATGAGGTGCTTAAGTTAATCTAATATCATTAAGCTACAATTACTCAGAAAATTCTCTTTCTTAGAGTGTAAGCAAGGTTAGTTTGAGTTAAACTTGGTTGCTTAAGCTAATAAAACAATTAGTGGCCTAAGCTAATTTATTATCGATATTCTTAAGGCTATGGCCTTTCCACATGTCATGGTTTCTTGGATCCAGGCCTGCATCTCTAGTCCATCCTTTTCTATTTGCATTAATGGTAGTCTTCATGGCTATTTCAAAGGGGCTAGAGGTCTGCGTCAAGGTGACCCTCTATCCCTTTACTTATTTGTTCTAGCTATGGAAATTCTTGCTAAAATCTTGGCTGAGAAGTCTATGCATCCTTTGTTTAAGTTCCATTGGAGGTGTGAGAAGACTAAGATTATAAATCTCTGTTTTGCTGATGATCTCATGATTTTTAGCAAAGGTGATGTGCATACTGTTAAGCTTATTATGGAAGGCCTTGAGGAATTTTCTAACCTCTCGGGCCTTATCCCTAATCCCAGTAAGAGTAATATCTACTTTTCTGGTTGTGAGATGGGGTTGCGTACCTCTATTCTTGGTATTGCTAAATTCAAAGAGGGCACACTTCCGGTTAAATATCTTGGTGTCCCTCTTATCACAACCAAATTGAGGGCTACGGACTGTGCTCCTCTCATTGATAGGATCACCAAGAGAGTTAAGAATTGGACTAATAGAGTTTTGTCTTACGCGGGGAGGAGCCAGCTTATCCAGTCCATCCTTTTTTCTATGCAAGTTTACTGGTCTTCCCTGTTTATTCTCCCTAAGAAGGTTATTAAGGAGATTGAAAGCATTCTTAGAGCTTTCCTCTGGTCTGGCAGTGAGCTCAAAACTCACAGTGCCAAGATTGCTTGGGATTCTGTGTGTGCTCCTAAAAGTGAGGGGGGTCTTGGGTTTAAATCTCTTGATATCTGGAATAGAGCTGCTATAGCTAAACATGTTTGGTTCCTTTTTTCTGGTGGCGAGAAGTCTATGTGGTGCCAGTGGGTTAAATCTTATTTACTCAAGGGTAGAAGCTTCTGGAAGGTCAAAATCCCCCCTGACCCTTCCTGGGTTTGGAGGAAAATATTGTCTCTTAGGGACTAGATATCTCCTCTAATTAATCACCAAGTTGGTTGTGGAGATTCTATATTCCTTTGGTACGACAATTGGCACCCTCTTGGTCCTCTTCGGAATAAGTTTGGTGACAGGATTATGTATGATTCGTGCCTCAACAGTGAGACCAAAGTCAGTCAAATCATTAATGGTCATTCCTGGAAGTGGCCTTTTCCTAACTCTTGGGAAATTCAGGAGTTGATTTCATCCACTCCTGAATGCTGCAAACCTAACCCTTCCAAGTGTGACCAGGTTATCTGGAATCTTACTTCTGATGGTCAGTTTTCCATCCACACAGCTTGGAATCACTGGAGACGTAGTTTTGGTAGAGTGGTTTGGCATAAACTCCTTTGGGGCCCTCATAGGATCCCGAAAGTCAGTTTCATTGTCTGGGTTGCTATCCATAACAGGTTGTACACTGGTGATAGACTTATGTTGTTTGGTTTAGCTCCTCATTCACAGTGCCCTTACTGCCTTGACCCTGGAGAGAGTCATTCTCATCTCTTTTTTAAGTGCAAATTTGCCAATAGAGTCTGGGGTGCTATTGAAGGCAAATGCAACATTAAATGGCTTGATTTGGATTGGCCGGATATTGTTACATATGCTACGAAGGAGACCAAGGGTAACTCTCTTAGAGCTAATATTCTTAGCAATGCTTTCCTGTGTTCTATTTACCACATCTGGATTGAGAGAAATAATCGTGTTTTTAACAAAGAATTTAAACCTGAAGAGGTGATTACCAAATCTATAATCCAGATGGTGAGAAGTAGAATGCTGTCCATTAAGTACTTGCCTAGTTCTGCTACTGATAGCTGGTTTCTTGCCCAATGGAACCTGCCAATAACAATATTGAAGCCCCATATTATCAGATATGGGAGGGCTGCTGAGTGATGTGAGTTCCATATATGTGGGTTGAGTGTTGGTGAGCAACATTGTGTGTTTGCGTAATGGTTTGTTTTGTGCAGGATCTGGTCAGAATTCTCTGTGGATGCATCTGTGTACTTGAGGGTTGAGTGATGAGAGGAATCAAAATTTCACTTCACATGAGGGTTGAGTGTAATCAGCCACCATATTTACTAATGTTAATATATATTATATATCTTTATTTGCAAGGTAAGGAAGCACAAGTCGAGTGGTGTGAGCCCCTAAATTGTGGGCCGAGTGATGTGAGATTCTATAATGAGGGCACTGTTGTTGTTTCAATTTCTAGTAGATTGTATCTTATCTGCTGGAGATACTTATGGCTGTTCTTACAGGGTCTATTATAATGTATGAGCAGGCCTTGGGTTGTATGGGTCGAAAGAGGTGGCCAGGTTTCGGGGACTGCATACCTGCTGTTTCGGAGGCTCTTGGCATTTCTGGTTTCATTAAAATGACTAAGTCCTGTTGGAGTTGCATGGAGAGGATGACTTCTACTTCTCCTATTGAATGCTGGTTTATTGATTCTCAGTTGTTTGGCAGATTGCACGCCAAAGGTTACTGTTCTGGGATGATGGCTGCTTGTAGTGCCTTGGTGGTCACTTGTCTTTTCTTAATTTTTATTTCTGTATTGAACTTCTGTTTTTGGATGCTAGACGGTATTGATGTGATGATATTTTTGGCTTACCCGTGCGGGTTGTGCCGGGTTTTAGTTCAGTGGTTGTTTTGTTTGTGTTGTCAGTGGACTGGTTCTTTTATTTTCAGCTTTGGGTTATCGATTGGATGTGTTCATGGACCTCATTCGTCAGTATGCGGCTTATGCACATATCCCGGGGGGGTTTATTTCTATGTATTGCTTTTATTATCCTTAATTTTGGCAGCCGGTTTTGATCCGCTTGGTGGATTAGGAAGCACAGAGGCAGCACCGTCAAGGACCGCCCAGGACGAAGGCAAAAAGAAGAGACCGGCGGCAGAGTAGGTCGGTGGGTGACCGTCTACAGAAAAGAAAACAAATCTGTTGTTGTTGTGATGGTTTTTCCTTTTTGTTTTGTGTTTTTTTTTTTTTTTTTTTTTTTTTTTTTTTTCCCCACAAAAAAAAAAAAAAAAAAAAAAAAGAAACATTCTTCATGAGAGGTAGAATAGAAAGTTAGATTTTTTTTTGGGTGAATAAGTCATAAATTAAAAACACAGAAAATTACAAATATACAAGGGGCATGCCTCTTAAGCTAAGGAAACAATTAGGCGATTTAATACTTAGGCGATTGAACTTGGGAATTGAATACTTAGGCGATTTAGAATACCTTAAAAGTACCCTCCTAAAAAAAAAAAAAAAAAAAAAAAACAAAATGAAAAAATTAAGTTTTAAACTAATATCGTTACTCAAAAAATTCTTTTTCTTAGAGGCTAAGCAAGGTTAGTCTGAGTTAAACTTGACCACTTAAGCTAAGGAAACAATTAGTGGCTAAGCTAATTAGTGCCTAAATAGAGAAGGAGGGAGAAAGTTTGTGAGGAACATTCTTCTTGAGTGTTAAAAGAGGAAGTTAGAGAAAAGAAAGAGAAACGGGAAGAAAATGAAGGGGAATTCAAATTCATCCTTTTGTACTTGACAACTGAACACTTAAGTCATTTTGAAAACCTTAAATGAGGTGCTTAAGTCAAACAACTAGTGTTAAGCTACAATTACTTAGAATTTTTTTTGTTAGAGGCTAAGCAACGTTAGTTTAAGTTAAACTTGCCCACTTAAGCTAACGAAGCAATTAGGGGCCTAACCTAATTAGTTCTCGAACAAAATAGGGAAGTATGGAGAACGTTACAGAGAAACATTCTTCTCGAGAGGTAGAAGAGGAAGTCATACAAAAGAAAGTGATATAGGAAGAAAATCAAAGAGAATTAAAATCCATCCTTTTAGACTTGAGAATTGAACACTTATGTGACTTAGAAAACCTTAAATGAGGTGGTTACGTTAAACTAATGTCGGTAAGATACAATTACACAGAAAATTCTATTTCTTGGAGGAGGCAACGTTAGTTTGAGTTAAACGTGGCCGCTCAACCTAATGAAACCATTAGTGGCCTAAGCTAATTAGTTCCTAGAACAAAATAGAGAATGATGGAGAAGGACAGAGAAGGTTAGAGAGAAACATTCTTCTTGAGAGCTAGAAGAGAAAGTTAGAGAATAGAAAATGAAGTATGAAGAAAATCAAAGGGGATTAAAATTCATCTTTTTGGATTTGAGAATTGAACACTTAGGTAATTTAGAAAACCTTAAATGCGATGATTAAGCAAAACTAATATCGTTAAACTACTATTACTTAGAAAATTCTATTTCTTAGAGGCTAAGTAAGGTTAATTTTTTTTTTTGGGTGAATAAGACATAAATAAAAAAAACAGAGATTACACAGCTACAAGGGGCATACCCCAGGACCTAACAGAAACTATACAAGAACAAAGGAAAAAGGCGAACTCACACAACCAGCAAAAGCCAAAATAAAATATGACCAGTAACAAACAAGACTATAACTGGAGAAAGGAAATCAAAACATGGGAAAATTACAACCCCCCAAAATATGTTCATGAGCCGCATAAATTCAAATGAGGACCATGAACACATCCAAACAGCGACCCAAATCTGAGCTAAATCAGCCCACAAAACGGCAACACCTAGCAGCAGACACAAAATGATAGGCCATGTACATCCCACACGGCTAGGCCAAAAGGAGTGACAACCTAGCAAAACACTCATAGTCCATACACAGTTAAATAAAATACAAATAAAAGAAAGACAAGTATCCACAAAGGCGCTACAAGCAGCCATCAACAATTGCCAGCAAACACGACCACCCATAGTGCCATCGAACCCAAAGCAGTCCATACAGCACCAATAGAACTCAAGCATTATAGTGGACCCACAGCAGCCCGATCTGCCCAGCATAGGAATTTCATAACAGTCACATTCGTCAGACGCATAGCACGTATCCCTATCCCGGCAGCCACCATATTGCTCAAACATTGTAATAGACCCTGTAGAAGAAATCAGAAATGAGTATATCCAGTGATACCAAAGACAAAACATAGCAGCAGCACACTCAATGTAGAAACTCTCAACACTCGGCCCACAATTTAGGGGCTCACACCACTCGAAATTAGCTTCCTTAACCTGCACATAAAAATTTACAGTATATATAGTCATTAGCAAAAAATTTATGGCTAACATCACTCGACCCACAGATAATTGGAGAATATATAAAGTAACTTTCATCACTCGACCCTCAAGGATAGATAGATCCACTTGGGACACCCGAATATACCTGCAAAAGAAAAAAGCTTAAATACATAAAACCCTCATATAAGCTCACCATCTCTCGACCCACATTTAGTGAACTCACATTACTCAGCAGCCCTCCCATTTCTGATGCTATGGGGCTTCAGAATATTCTCCGGCAAACTCCATTTATCAAGAAACCATTTGTCACCATTGGATCTAGGAATATTCTTAATTGACAGCATTCTATTTCTAACCATTTGGATAACAGATTTAATGACCACCTCTTCAGGTTTTAGCTCTTTGTTAAAAATTCTGTTATTTCTCTCAAGCCAGATCATGTAAACAGAACACAAGAATGCATTACTAATGATATTCACCCTCAAAGAGTTACCTTTAGTCTCCTTAGAAGCAAAAGTAACACTCTCAGGCCAGCCAAGGACAGGCCACTTAATGTTACAAGCGACTTCAATGGTACTCCAGACTCTACTAGAGAAGATGCATTCAAAGAATAGATGAGAGTGGTTTTCCTCCAGGTGGAGGCAAATGGGGCATTGAGAGCTAGTGGACAGGCCAAACATACGGAGTCTATCACCAGTGTAAAGTCTATTGTGGAGAGCCACCCAAACAATGAAGCTAACTTTAGGGATTCTGTGAGGGCCCCACACAAGCTTATGCCAAACAACTTTATCGAATTTCTTTCTCCAATGATTCCAGGCTGATTGAATGGAAAACTTACCATCAGTGGTAAGATTCCAAAGAGCTTGATCAGTGCTGGAAGGATTAGGAAGAAAACACACAGGAGTAGAGGAGATTAGCTCCTAAATTTCCCAAGAATTGGGAAAAGGCCACTTCCAAGAAGACCCATCAATGATTTTACTGACTTTTGTATCACTATTAAGGGCAGAGTCATAAATAATTCTATCCCCGAATTTGTGCCAAAGAGGACCAATAGGATGCCAATTATCAAACCAAAGGAAGGTGGTGTCCCCACACCCAATCTTATGCTGAATCAGTGGGGAAACCCACTTCCTAAGAGACAATAATTTTCTCCACACCCAAGAAGGATCATTAGGAACCTTAACTATCCAGAAACTCTTCCCCTTTAATAAGTAAGATTTGACCCACTGACACCACATCGATCCCTCACCCCCAGAAAACAAAAACCAAATGTGTTTAGCTATGGCCGCTCTATTCCAAATATCTAAAGATTTAAAGCCCAAACCTCCCTCATTTTTAGGAGCACAAACAGAATCCCAGGCAATTTTGGCACTATGAGTTTTAAGATCAGTACCAGACCAAAGGAAGGCTTTAAGAATACTATCAATCTCCCTAATGACCTTCTTGGGAAGAATGAAAAGGGAGGACCAGTACACTTGCATAGAAAAGAGAATGGATTGAATGAGCTGGCTTCTACCAGCGTAAGATAAAGCTCTATTGGTCCAACTCTTCACTCTTTTGGTGATCCTATCAATGAGAGGACCACAATCAGCAGCCCTCAACTTCGTGGTAATTAAGGGGACACCAAGGTACCTAACAGGAAGAGTCCCTTCATTAAACTTAGCAATCTCAAGAATAGAAGCTCTCAACTCCATATCACAACCAGAAAAGTAGATGTTACTTTTGCTGGGATTAGGAATTAGGCCAGACAAGGATGAAAACTCCTTAAGGCCTTCCATAATGAGCTTAACAGTAGAGGCATCACCCCTACTAAAGATCATAAGATCATCCGCGAAGCAAAGATTGATAATTTTAGTCTTGTCGCACTTCCAATGAAACTTAAAAAGAGGGTGCTTAGCTTTCTCCGCCAAGATTTTGGCCAGGATTTCCATGGCCAAAACAAATAAGTAAGGGGACATCGGGTCACCTTGTCTAAGACCTCTAGCTCCTTTAAAATAGCCATGAAGGCTACCATTGATACAAATTGAAAAGGAAGGGCTAGTGATGCAGGCCTTGATCCAAGAGATCATGACAGGAGGAAAGGCCATAGCCTTGAGAATATCAAGTATAAAATCCCATCTCACGCTATCATAAGCTTTCATGATATCCACCTTCATAGCACACTTCGGAGTAGGGGAATGCCTATGGTACCCCCTCATAAGCTCTTGAGATAGGAAGATATTATCAGAAATTCTCCGACCCTGAACAAAAGCGGATTGAACAGGGTCAATAAGATCAGGAAGAACAGATTTAATCCTGTTAGCTATGATCTTGGCAATGCACTTATAGATGGTGTTGCAACAAGAAATAGGCCTGAAGTCACCCACTTTCGCAGGGTTGGGGACTTTGGGAATGAGAGCAATGATTGTGCTATTAACTTCAGACAGAAGCTTGCCTGACTTAAAGAACGTTCTAATGGCTTGGATAACATCTCTTCCAACAATAGCCCACGATGACTTAAAAAAACCCGCAGAGAAACCATCAGGACCGGGAGCCTTATTGGTCTTAAGAGACCAAAAAGTATCCTTGATCTCTTGGTCAGTCACAGGCCTCACAAGCACAAGAGATTGATCAGGAGAAAAAGTTTGTAAATGCATTCTGGATGTCCTCTATTTTAGAAGATTTTTGGCCATCCACCAACTCCAGATTCAAAATTTTAGTTAAACTAGGCAACTTAAGCTAATGAAAACAATTGGTGGCCTAAGGAAATTAGTTCCTAGAACAAAATAGAGTAGGACGGAGAAAGTTAGACAGAAACATTCTTCTTGAGAGCGAGAAGAGAAAGTTAGAGAAAAGAAAGAGAAATAGGAAGAAAATCATAGGGCATTCAAATTCACCAGTTTGGACTTGAGAATTGAACACTCAGGTGATTTAGAAAACCTTAAATGAGGTGCTTGCGTTAAACTAATATCGTTATGCAACAATTACTCTGAAAATTCTCTTTCTTAGAGGCTAAGCAAAGCTAGTTTCAGTTAAACTTAGCCACTTGAGCAAAAGAAACAATTAGTGGCCTAAGCTTATTAGTTCCCAGAACATAAAAGATAAAGATGGAGAAGGACGGAGAAAGTTATAGAGAAACATTCTTCTTGAGAGCTCGAAGAGAAAGTTAGAGAATAGAAAGAGAAATAGGTAGAAAATCAAAGGGAATTCAAATTCATCTTTTCGGACTTGAGAATTGAACACTTAGGTGATTTAGAAAACCTTAAATGAGGTGATTTTTTTTTTTGGGGGTAAGTAAGTCATAAAATAAAGACGATGAAATATACAAGTTTACAAAAATGAGGTGATTAACCTAAACTAATATCATTAAAGTAATATTACTCAGGAAATATAGCTGTGTTAGGTCCTGGGGTATGCCCCTTGTAGCTGTGTAAATTTTCTTGTTTTATTTTATCTCTTATTCACCCAAAAAAAAAGGATAGAGAAGGACAGAGAAGGATGGAGAAAGTTAGATAGAAGCTTTCTTTTTTTTGGGTGAATAAGACATAAAATAAAAAAGACAGAGAACTACACAGCTACAAGGGGCATACCCCAGGACCTAACAGACAACTATACAAACGAATGGAGAACAAGAAAAAAAACCGCCACCTAAAAGGAATCAAAGTGGGCTGCCAAAATTAAAATAAAGAAAATCAATACATAGAAGGAAACCCCTAAAGATATGTGCATAAGCCGCATACATACGAATGAGGCCCATGAACACATCCAACCGAGAACCCAAAACTGAAGTGAAAATAGTCCATACAGACGACACAACCAAAAGCAACACTGTACTGATAACCTGGCACATCCCGCACAGGTAGGCAAAAAGAACAACCATCGCATCTATACCGCCTAACATCCAAACACAGAAATTCAAAACAGAAAATAACTTAATGAAAGACAAGTGTCCACAAAGGCGCTACAAGCAGCCATCAACACAGAACAGTACCATCTGCCACGCAATCTGCCACACGTCTGATTGTCAACAAACCAGCAACTCCAACAGAACTTAATCATTGTAGCGAACCCAAAATCTGAAAAGCCAAGATCTTTTGAAACAACAGGTCTGCAGTCCCCAAAATCTGGACACCGCTGCCAACCCATACAATCCAGGACCTGCTCATACATTGTAGTAGACCCTGTAAGAACAACCATAAGTAAGTACCTCCAGCAGATAAGATACAATCTACTATGAATTAAGTCAGTAACAGTGCCCTCAATATAGGATCTCACACCACTCGACCCACACTTTATGGGCTCACACCACTCGACTTGAGCTTCCTTACCCTGCACATAAAGAAATATAATATATATTAACATAAACAAATGTGGGGGCTGAATACACTCGACCCTCATGTGAAGTGAAAAATTAACTGCTCTCATCACTCAACCCTCAAAGATATGCATGCATCCACAGTGATCTCTGAACAGACCTGCACAAAACCAAACCATTACGCAAAACACACAGTGTTGCTCACCCACACTCAACCCACATATATGGAACTCACATCACTCAGCAGCCCTCCCATATCTGATAATATGGGGCTTCAATATCGTTGTTGGCAGGTTCCATTGGGCAAGAAACCAGCCGTCACTAGCAGAGCTAGGCAGATTCTTAATGGACAGCATTCTACTTCTCACCATCTGGATTACAGATTTAATAACCACCTCTTCAGGCTTGCATTCTTTGTTAAAAATACGATTATTTCTCTCAATCCAGATGTGGTAAATAGAGCACAAGAAAGCATTGCTAAGAATATTAGCCCAAAGAGAGTTACCCTTGGTCTCTTTTGTAGCATATGTAACAATATCAGGCCAATCCAAAACAGGCCACTTCATGTTGCATTTGCCTTCAATAGCACCCCAAACTCTATTGGTAAAACTACACTTGAAGAAGGGATGAGAATGACTTTCTCCAGGGTTAAGGCAAAAAGGGCACTGAGAATGAGGAGATAAACCAAACAGCATTAGCCTATCACCAGTGTATAACCTGTTATGGATAGCAACCCAGACAATGAATTAAACACAAAGGTGATTCTGAAAACCATAACGAGGGGCTTAAGTAAAACTAATATCGTTAAGCGACAATTACTAAGGAAATTCTCTTTCTTCGATGCAAAGCAAGGTTAGTTTGAGGAGAAGTATGAAGAAAATCAAAAGGAATTAAAATTCATCTTTTTGGATTTGAGAATTGAACACTTAGGTAATTTAGAAAACCTTAAATGAGATGATTAAGCAAAACTAATATCGTTAAACTAATTTTACTTAGAAAATTCTATTTTTCAGAGGCTAAGTATGGTTAATTGGAGTTAAACTAGGCAACTTAAGCTAATGAAAACAATTGGTGGCCTAAGGAAATTAGTTACCAGAACAAAATAGAGTAGAACGGAGAAAGTTAGACCGTAACATTCTTCTTGAGAGCGAGAAGAGAAAGTTAGAGAAAAGAAAGAGAAATAGGAAGAAAATCATAGGGCATTCAAATTCACCAGTTTGGACTTGAGAATTGAACACTCAGGTGATTTAGAAAACCTTAAATGAAAATGAGGATGAAAATCACAGGGAATTCAAATTCATCCTTTTAGACTTGAGAATTGAACACTTTGCTGATTTAGAAAAACTTAGATGAGGTACTTAAGTTAAACTAATATCGTTATGCTATAATTACTCAGAAAATTCTCTTTCTTAGAGGCTAAGCAAGGTTAGTCTGAGTTAAACTTGGCCACTTAAGCTAATGAAACAATTAACGGCCTAAGCTATTTAGTTCCTGGAACAGAATAGAGCAGGAAGGAGACGGACGGAGAAAGTCAGAGAGGAACATTCCTTCTTGAGATCTAGAAGAGAAAGTTTGAAAAAAAGGAAAGAGAAATAGGAAGAAAATCAAAAGGAATTCAAGTTCAACATTTTGGATTTGAGGATTGAATGCGTATATTCGCCCAAAAAAATTGAACGCTTAGGTGATTTAGATACCTTAAATGAGGTGCTTAAGTTGAACTAATTTCCTTAAGCTACAATGACTCATAAAATTCTCTTTCTTAGAGGCTAAGCAATGTTAGTTTGAGTTAAACTTGGTCGCTTAAGCAAATGAAACAATTAGCGGTCTAGGCAATTTTGTTCCTAGAACAAAATAGAGAATGATGGAGAAAGACTGAGAAAGGTAGAGAGAAACATTCTTCATCAGAGGTAGAAGAGAAAGGTAGAGGAAAGAAAAAATAATAGGAAAGAAAATCAAAGGGAATTCAAATTAATCCTTTTGGACTTAAGAATTGAACACTTAGTTGATTTAGAAAACCTTAAATGAGGTGCTTAAGTTTAACTAATATCCTTATGCTAAAATTACTCAGAAACTTTTATTTCTTAGAGTCTATGCAAGGTCAGTTTGAATTAAACTTGGCCACATAAGCAACTGAAACAATTAGCGGCCTAAACCAATTGGTTCGTTGAACAAAACAGTTGATGGAGAAGGATAGAAAAAGGTAGAGAGAAACATTCGTCTTGAGAGGTGGAAGAGAAAGTCAAAGAAAAGAAACAGCAATAGGAAAGAAAGAAATGAGAATTCAAGCTCATTGTTTTGGACTTGTGAATTGAACACTTAAGTGAATTAGAAAACCTTAAATGAGGTACTTAAGTTAATCTAATATCATTAAGCTACAATTACTCAGAAAATTCTCTTTCTTAGAGTGTAAGCAAGGTTAGTTTGAGTTAAACTTGGTTGCTTAAGCTAATAAAACAATTAGTGGCCTAAGCTAATTAGCTTCGGGAACGAAATAGAGAAGGATGGAGAAAGTTGGAGGGAAACATTCTTCATGAGAGGTAGAATAGAAATCTAGATAAAAGAAAGAGTAATAGGAAGGAAATGAATCATTTTGATTACTTGAATCATGAATCATAAAAGAAAGAGTAATAGGAAGAAAGTAGAGCTTCTCTCTCTAGAATCCTCTCTCTAGATTCTAGAGAGAGAAAGCTCCCCCCAGAGGTGATCTGGTGCAATAATGGCCAGTTGTTCAACTCCTCTTCCCATTCCTGGGGAGTGTGAGTATGTGTTTCTGGTGGAGGTTATAGTCGCCAGTTTGTTTACTTGAATCATTTTGATTCTGTACAGGTTTGGCTATTGGTGTTTCAATCCATTGCTGAGTGCACATCCTTGGCCAGTTGTTAGCTCCTCCATCCTTCGTTGGTGTGAGTGAGCTTGTTGGTTCTAGCGGTTCTAGGTGAATGGGTATGGAGTTAGCCGACGGTCTATTTGAGAGTTATAGTTGTCTGGTTTGGGCTACATTTTGGTTCGGAGTGGGGCTATTGGCAGGGCTCTACTGTGTTGTATTTAGATTTTTGAGAGAGGAGGTAATGTTAATGGGTGTGATATCTGGGTTGAGCTACCTCTTCTCGGACGTGATGGTGGGAGTGAGAAGGGATCCCTCATGTTACTTTTTCTGCTCTGGTTAGGTTCTCCTCAGACGTTGTTTTCGCCGGCGTGATTATGCGGTGTGTTGCTGCCTTGGTCTACTCTGGTAGTCTCACGTGAGTAGGTGCTCTAGCTCTACTCTGTGGGTTCCTTTCCAGTGAGGAATTGTTTGCAGTTTGGGAGCCAAAAACACTCTGGCCATGGTCAAGAATGTGGTGCTTTGTTCCAGTTTTGAAGAAGCTCTACTGCTGTTTTTTAGCTGCAGTATAAGCTACAGTTGGTGAACGGAGGTCCTTTCCGACTCTATTTTACATGTCCTGGCTTGCCTATTCTTGGGTTGTGATCTATTTGGTTTATCGGAGCAGGTACCAGCGCCGTTATTACAGAGGCTTATCGATGTTCCGAGGTGCATAGTTGCTGGTTTCTCCGGCGGTGACCTTTGGTGCTGCTGGGTTGATATGGGTTGCATCCGAAGGGGTTTTACAGTGCTATCGGTGGATTCTGGGTGCTGTAAACTGATCAGGTTTTGCTGCCAACGTTGCTGTGTCTCTCCACCGGCACCGTTGAGCGAGGATGCATGATCGTTGTGGTGCACCGTGTCGTAGCGGAGAAAATTTTTTGGTACGCGTGTCTATCGCGTGACTAGAGATTTCCCGCCTAACTTGCTGGTGCACGCATTCTATTTTTTGCGCAAGGACAGATCGTGGGTTGGGAAGATAAAAAGCAATTTTTTTTTTCGGCTTAGTGCTATTTGCATCATCTTTGAATTGTATATGTATATTCTGTGATGATGATTGCAGGTGCACGTGGGAGTGGCTTTGATTAGCCACTGGGTTGTATAGTGAGGCTGGGTTTGTAGTGCACGTGGGTTGTGCTGGTTTATTCATGCATATAACTGTTGGGCCTAACCCATGTTGCTTTTGTTTTTGGGCCAGTGTAAAATGGCCTAGCGTAATTGGGTGCCTTCTGTGGGCAGCGTAATGCTTGCGTGTGTTTTATTTTGTATTTGTTTTAATTCTGTAATTTTGCCCATTTATCTTTTCCAAGTCTCCTCTATTATCTTTGATGGTAGCGGCTACTTGGGGATAAAAAGACATATGGGCAGAATTTTGGGGTTTGTTTTAATTTTTTTATTTTAATTTCGTTTCCCTCCATTTTGGAGGGTATAGTTAGATTTGTTGTATTACCTGGGGTATGCCCCTTGTAAACGTGTAATTTTTTGTCTTTAATTTATGACTTACCCACCCAAAAAAAAGGAAGGAAATGAAAGAGAATTCAAATTCATCATTTTGGACTTGGGAATTGAATACTTAGGCGATTTAGAATACCTTAAAACTACCCTCCTAAAAAAAAAAAAAAACACTAAACGAGTTGATTAAGTTTTAAACTAATATCGTTACTCAAAAAATTCTCTTTCTTAGAGGCTAAGCAATGTTAGTCTGAGTTAAACTTGACCACTTAAGCTAAGGAAACAATTAGTGGCTAGGCTAATTAGTGCCTATATAGAGAAGGAGGGAGAAAGTTTGTGAGGAACATTTTTCTTGAGAGCTAAAAGAGGAAGTTAGAGAAACGAAAGAGAAACGGGAAGAAAATGAAGGGGAATTCAAATTCATTCTTTTGTACTTGACAACTGAACACTTAGGTCATTTTGAAAACCTTAAATGAGGTGCTTAAGTCAAACAACTAGCGTTAAGCTACAATTACTCATAATTTTTTTGTTAGAGGCTAAGCAGCGTTAGTTTGAGTTAAACTTGCCCACTTAAGCTAATGAAGCAATTAGGGGCCTAAGCTAATTAGTTCTCGAACAAAATAGAGAAGGATGAAGAACGTTACAGAGAAACATTCTTCTCGAGAGGTAGAAGAGGAAGTCATACAAAAGAAAGTGATATTGAAAGAAAATCAAAGAGAATTCAAATTCATCCTTTTAGACTTGAGAATTGAACAATTATGTGACTTAGAAAACCTTAAATGAGGTGCTTACGTTAAACTAATGTCGGTAAGATACAATTACACAGAAAATTCTATTTCTTGGAGGGGCAAGGTTAGTTTGAGTTAAACGTGGCCGCTCAAGCTACTGAAACCATTAGTGGCCTAAGCTAATTAGTTCCTAGAACAAAATAGAGAATGATG